GTGTCCAGTTCCTGAGAATAGCAAAATCCGGTTGTTCACGTTCGGTTTGAAGGGAAGGTTTTTGTTCAAGCGAAGGCATTCCACCTTGAAAGGCTGGCTACTCGATGAGAAATGTACCAGTTTGCTGCACGACGGCAAGTCACAGTGAATTTAGGGATGTGCTTCGACAACGAAAGCGAATGCCTTTTATGATTGCGAAGGCCTAGGATGATATTTAAATTCCTATTCCTCTGCTCAGTTTCCTGTTGGCTGCCAGGGATGCAAAGTAGTAAGCGTATCTTGTGCAGCTTTGGTGTTCTGTGGTCTGGGCTAACATTCCAAATGGTAAAATTCTCTTGTTGTTATATGTGAAATAGCATAAGTGAGATGTGCAGAGTTACGCCTGAAAGAAGAATCCTGAGATCCCTGACGAGGATTTTCATTCATCCTTGGGAAGAACCCCTTCTGTCCAGTCTCATCTGAAGAACGCTGCGCAGAGCAATTAATCGAATGCATGGGGTGTTTTGAATTGAACTGGTTTCGCATGTCTTGTTGCGGTTACGCGATGGACGTGTAGCGCTTTTTCGGTCTGAAGCGTGTTCGTTGGGATTTCTAAGGTAAGAATTGCTGTATTCCAGATGTGAACCAAATGGTGCAAAAAATCGACCTCGTCACCCCTTTTGGAAGAGGTGGGAGGTGGTTGGGGCATTGAATCTATTCTTGTCAACACCCCAGGTAATTTTTTGGAGACCTACTAATTCCTTCACTCTGGGCGACGCCACTAGTTCCATTTCCACCCCACTTATTTGTTTTCTCATATACTTGACGGCATTTGCGAAGAAACGATCGTGAACCAGACGGATGAGGATTTTTGCCTGAATCGGGAGGAACGAGCTTCAGGCTGTGTGAACCAGTCCGAGCAAAGTGTTTTGGAAATGAAACTTGGGCGCAGTTAGGCTTGATGGATCCATCAAAGTTACTCAGCGAAGCTTGTACTGGCCACCTTGTAAAAAATGTGAATTCCTGTTGCTAAAGTGACTCAAGGTACCACGGCGGAGATTCTCCTAGGTTACATGAACTATCAAAAGCGCAAAATGCCCCTCCTAAGCTGAACTGCGCCGAAGCTGGTCTTATGCATAGCTTCACAAAAGTGTTGTAGAGTTTGAGAAATACTTCCCTTCCTCATTGGTATTGTACAGTCCTC